CGGCGAGACCGGCTGGCAGGTATGCATCGGCGACGCCATGTAATTCGACGCAGCGGAGCAGGCAGGGGGCACAAGGGACAAGTGTCTCCATCTTAGATCCAGAGGGGCCCGAAGGGCCTCTCGGCACCGACGATAAAGGGTCCGCTTTGAGCGTCCGAGAGCTGGCCGGAGGTGGTATTCAATGGCCCCGGCCCGCTGGACTGGGCACTCAAATGCCAATCAGAGGGTCGTTTGCGTGGATCGAGATCGCCTTGGTCGATGAAGGCCTCTGTTGGTCAGGCCCCATCATTACCACAGTCGGCTCAGCGTTCGCATGGGTCTGAGGGCCGCAGAGGCAGAGGCAGAGCCGGGCCAGTGATTTACATTGGTCGGGGCCCCGTTCGTCACGGTCGTGACGAGATAAGAAAAAAACAAGTATTTACATGCGTGTTCAATGAGTCGGTTTCATCGCTGAGTGAAGCAGGCCCATAAGCCCTGAGTGGTGTGCGAGAGGTGGTATTACGTCGTGCTATACGATTTCGTTCATGCATTCCATCCAGTTAAAAACGAAGTTAAGCGATACCATGCTAATTACCCGTTCTTTTCCGCGTCTTGTTACCGTTGGCTGTGATGCTCTTCATGCCCTGTGATGAAATGTTTGCAGCCGTTGCTGCGCACAGCTCCCCCCCCCCCCCCCTGATGGTGCGTCTGTTCAAAATGACGGTTTGGAGTTGCGTCGGGTGCTGGTAAAAGCAACCTTAGGGGGTCAGCGACGATGCTTGATGTGGCAACGATACTGTGTCTCATACGACGGTGGGGAAGCGATACAAAGGATTCCGTTTTCCGGAAGTTCTTGTCCAAAGTCCGATCCGAAGTCCAAGGTTGGACCAGCTGTCAGTCCAGAAAGTGTCCAAAAAATCAGGTTGTCCAAAAAAATTCAGTTCAAACAGCTACAGCCTTAAACCATCAACCCCACTCACTACCCGCGTTGCCGCATTCTCTCACTCGAATCGAATGAAAAGAAAAATTGCTGGTGGGTAAGCATGTGTATCCCGGGCTTCTGTGAAGATAACCAAAGTTCCGACACGACAGAATGATATCAGCTTTCCAAAAATTGACATGTTTTTGCTACTGTTCTCCCAATTCTCCCAATTCTCTCTCTTACCCTGATGGTGCTGCGATTATTTCCAAAAATAAAAGTATTGTGGAACTTCAAAACAATGTCAATACGCTTTTGCTCCTAATGACTTCCTGGTTTAGTGCTAATTTTCTTTCACTGAACGCATCAAAAACATTTACATAGCATTGCACTACCCCTTCTTCGCATTTCCAACTAAATGTGCAAAGTAACAATTCAGCTATCGAAGAGAAAAGAAAAATCAAATACTTTGGTGTGCTCATTGACAAATCGCTTAAATTTACGCGCCACATGAATTTTGTTGCAGACATATTACGTAGAAATATTGGGATAATAAGAAGGGTTAAATACTTCATTGACAAAACAACGTCACATCTACTCTATACTACTTAAATTCTTCCTCATTTAAATTACTGCTGCTTGATTTGGGGTGTAAATTATGCTTCTCAACTAGATCGATTAGTAATTTGACAAAAAAGGGCTGTGCGCGTGATGGAAAAGTGTGTATCCTCGACAAATCTCCCAGTCAATCTCTAAACGATGCAACATTTTGAAGTAATGGGATATCGCTAAATCCCAAATGTTCATTGTGATGCACAAATTTCTAACTTCACAGTTTCCTGCATAATTCGATTTAACGTACAAGCTCTACGAGTCAAATGAAATGGATATGAGGCGAGCAAACCATTTAGACCAGCCTTTCTCTAATCGTAATTGTAGGGTATTTACAACATCTTGCTTTGGCCCTAAGCTGTGGAACAACGCTATGGTTTTATATTTTCCAAGAATAACTGATCAAATCTCTGCATCAAAAACCGTCGTTAAGAACATCATCCGCAAGCATTTCGCGAATGCATATTAACGTAATCCAACATATTTTAAGATATTGCAATCTTTTGCGCTGCACGCATGTAACCCACTTCATGTTTAACCTCCCTCATGCTCCATAATCACGTTCTCATATGGTTATAGTCATGCACATGTACCCAAATTCATGGCGCTGGCTCCGGAAGTTCTTCCAGCAGCAAGCTTTGCTCAGCTGGGTGGACTCCCTGGACATCCAACTCAAAACCCAGCACGAAAATGACCAGGTAATTGCCCCTCCGACTTGTGTGACTGTACAACCCTTGCTAACATTGTGAATGGGTGATTGTGGCTTATTGGGTGGTTGTAGCGGGCTGTCATTAGCTGACTTTGGTTAATGACTACTTTAAGCCTTCCCACGTATGATTTGTCCTTGCCTATTGCATAACACAATTCCTTCGGGTCTGCACCACCTCTTCGCCTGCTTCCTTATGTTTGTTTCCTCTTCCTAGCTGGGAGTGCCGCGACTTGATCTGATGTTTTCTGGTGTTAACGTACGGTTTATTGCGTCGCTGGGATGGAGGGAGGGGCACTCCTGGCTACCTGTTCTTGGGTAACGGTATAGAAAAAAATATAAATTGAACTCTGAAAATTTTGGAATTTCAATCAATTGAAATCCAGTCGGTACTTCTAGTGCGACATATATGTCATGTATCGTTAGGGGCGTCAGAGACACGTCGCACTCAAATTCTACAGAATTTGATATTATGCTTTTAAAGCGTTGCACAGAATGAAATGTCATAAACCTTGGATGTCCCCGGTTCTATCCAACCCTGTGGTTGTTTAGTCCCTGAGACTAGTGGCGATACTCATATGTGGCGATACTCAGACTGTGCGTTTTCACAAAGAACAAATTGCGTGAAAGCTATAAAACTAGTAAAGTTGTAAGACCGAGAGGTTGCTTCCTGGGTGTTTACGGGAGTATTCCACATTATATGGGGTTTTGAACGGAAAAGCCATCTTGAACCTTAGGTGCTGTTCACCATCCGCCCCTTCTTAAGACCTAAGCCGCTTCACTTTCTGAGCTAGGACGCTTGCCAAAATGGGGAAAGGTATATCGGGGAAAGTATTTCAGTGACCTCGGCGTTCATGACGTCATACACATCATTGAAAGTGTGCAATTCCATAAGCCATGCGACGATCAAGGCCAAGAAAAATAGAATTGCCGAGGCTTTCGTATCAGGCGTTCATGTGCGCGGTCTCCAGATACAACGGCCGTCAATTGGCTCTCAACCAATGATGTGCAAGGTACGATGACGCAATCAAACCATGACGTGTATGTACTAAACAGAGAATTGTGCTGTCTAAAGCAGTCTCTTCTACTTAAAAAGTATACCACTGGTCATAAGTGGGTTTGTTTCATCATATCTGATGCTTGCTTCAACATCTTCAAATGTAAAGCATTCCCCTTAGCGGCTACCATATCGCCTCATCGCAACACAGGACTTGACCGCTTATTTGGACGACGTAATACAGGGTCACTGCCGTAAATATCTTACACCATGTGGTATTACATACCTATGGTCATCTTTCTCCTGAGCATCACTCATCAGGTCCCGGCTCCTTTCAGCTGGTGTCGATCCGTTTGATCCAAGCGTTTTTGAGGAAGTTTGCGTGGCGGCGCGGTGGCTTGGCAGTGTCCTAGGATGAGGCATCGTCGCATAGGGTGTACCTGGTGAAACGTAATAAGACACGTGCATATTGCAGGTGTCTTATGAGTGAAAAAGCAATCATCTTTTTGGTACCTGTCCTCCATTCGCATCGCGGAAGTTTTTCTGTCAGCCGTTCTCAGATAGTTCGGCCATAAGCAGTGAAACCCGAGCCACGAAAATGTGAGCAGGTCAGGTGGCCTTCAGTTCCGGGCTAGATCAGCTACGGCGGTGTGGACAAGCGATTAGATAGCTGCCGAGTCTCTGGAGATATCTGCAAGCTCAGACTGCCTTTTGTTCAAATATTTGTTTGTACGCACTTTTTGGATCCCGATTACACCCAGTCAGCGCAACTCACCCCCGCGCCCTGCCCACTGATGAGCGAGGTTCCGGTAGTTGATATGGCTCTGCTTTGCGTCTCATGCTGGCTGCTAGAGGAAGCGTTTCTCGTTCTGCTAGCCGGGGATACTGCGCCAACACATCAGTCAACGTTTGCATCATCACTAAACCAGCGTCGTCGGCGATAGCCGGGCAAGACGCCCACTCGTGTCGGAGACGGCCACTCGTGTCGGAGACGTCCACTCGTGTCGGAGACGGCCACTCGTGTCGGAGACGGCCGCTCGTGTCGGAGACAGCCACTCGTGTCGGAGACGTCCACTCGTGTCGGAGACGGCCACTCGCCTCTTGCCTACCACCTGCTATCAACACCTGGTTAGAATCACTAGTTCAGGAGTAAGGTTGACTCTAACCATAAAGCGTCTCTGCACTGCTTTGTGCTGAAATATGATTCACGTAAGTTTAATACAGCCTACGCTTGATTGTTGACCTTGAACGATCGCTATTTGAACAGCGGTCGCATCCTTCACTTACACTGTTCACGTTGCAGTTCTCGAGGACCGAGATTGGAAAGTGGCTGTGCCCAGCGAAAAGCATATAATACATGCGCTGACAGTTTTTTTGGCGTTTTGGGCCGAGCGAGCACACTTCGTGGTTAGTCACGATCACCCGCGAATTGTGCCGTGCCCCTGGCGACAGCGGGGGGGAGGGGCGCTGCGCCTTCTCGCTCGTGTGACCGCCGGCGCCATTGCCAAAGCGCTCGAACACTTCAGCAACGCCTGATGACCCCATCGGCGGACAGTGCAACCACCATACCAATCGACGCAACCTATCGGTCACGGTGTCCATGGCAACGTTTCGGCAACTCCGTGGTTGCTATGCTACGGCGTTACGTGCACGTCGGCGGGCATCGATAATCGTGTGACGCCACTTCGCAGACAACGCGCGTGTCGCGCCGCATGATCGCGTAACTTTTGGGGGCGCCGCCGGCCGCGTCACGTCGCGTCACGTCACGTCACGTCGCGCCGGCGGCCCCCCGCGCACCGTGACGCTGCGCCGGCCGGCTCTTGCCCAAGCTGGAGTGCGTGGCGGTGGCCTGCCGTCAATGGGCACGCGCCGCCCGCAGGCACCGCACCACTACAAAAGACCCCAGCTAGGAAGCCAGGACATTCACTCGCCAGCTGACAGCGGTCGGTGGAACACGGTGAAGCAATCCCCAGCAGCATGAAGCTCACCTCGACGGTAAGCTGGCACGGCTGATCCGCCGCCCGGGGGCAAAACGAGACCGTGACACGCTTGGGGGCGCCCAGACCACAAAAGCCCATGGAATCCATCGAGATGACGTGGCCTCAACGTTGAAAACAACATCCGCTTAAGGAATGTCCCTGGGTCGCAATGATTCTGTTAACTTGCTGGTCGGTTTGTGTTGTTAACCAACCGCGCAACTGCATGACCTGCATGACATGCAACGTGCTGCACGGCCGCATTGTCGCAGTGGCCCAAAGTCGACATAACTGATCAATCAGCTGACCACTCAGAAAATACTCCGAGATTGGTGCCTTTTTTAATGGCACCCAAACGCCCCGCAGCCGTCATTGCAATCGTGAGCTCAATACCACCCGTGTTGTCTCCCATTACAATCTGCACGGTGGTTTCTTGAGCAGCAACGGACCTGTCTTTACGAGACGCAGGTCCGATCGCGGAGTCCCACCGCCACAGTTCATTCATTCATTTACTACCGCTTCAATTCGTTTTCTGGGGGAGGGGCAACGCATATCGTTACCCACACATCTTGCCTGTATACCATGTATCATGCGCTCATTTTTTTGGACATCTTGAGACATTTGATCTGATTGTGAACTGCGGGCGCGTACTTTTCTCTGCTTCTTGAATACCTCGGCGCGCCTTTTTCAGATGCACATTCTGTTGCTGGCATTTGCCCTGATGGCGCTGACCAGCGCGCAGTACGACTACGGAGATGGAGGTACGACACTTTAGCGCGCCGAACAGGGGCCACTGTTGTCCGGACAGCCACAACCACCAGCCACCATGCGTGTTCCCACAGGGCCTGCCACCGCGTTTCCTTACCACCGAATGCAGCGGAAGAGCTGGCGGCTTCTGAAACTTCCTCGCGTATTCATTGCTTGCTTATTGGAGTTTTCGGGCGCGTCGACTGCATAACCGAGCGTGTATTTCCGAGGGAAGGGTTTTGGCTTGGAGTCAGTCGCCATTGCAGCGTCATCCCCGAGCATACAAACAGCGCGCAGTGCTGGTCCCGACCCGGGGAGTGCGCTATCCCCCTGATAACGCCGACCGCCCCCAGGCGACTACGATGGCGGCCACGGCGGCGGCGACTACGACGGCGGTCACGGTTTGGATTACGATGGCGGGGACTACGGTGGCGGCGACTTCGGAGGCGGCGACTTCGGAGGCGGCGACTTTAGAGGTCACGGCGGCGATGACGACGGCGACTTCCGACACCACGGCGACGAACACTTTGGGGACGGCCACTACGAGGGCGACGGTCACGACCACTGAGCAGCACCCTCGGCTAGTGTCGACGCTGCGGGCGCCGCCCTCCGGGAGGGGAAGCCCGCAGCTGGGAGCCGCATCCCGGGGGTGCTTGACTGGGAACCCAGCTCGGGGTCGGTCCCTCACCGGGAGCCCAGCTCGGCGTCGGCCCCTCGCAGGGAGCCCAGCTCGGGGTCGGTCCCTGGCAGGGAGCCCAGCCCGAAGCTAACCCCTGCCAGAGAGCCCAGCTCGAGGCTGGCCCCTCACAGGGAGCCCAGCTCGGGCGCCGCTCTTGACGGGGTGCTGCACGCGTCATGTTGGCGTCATCTACGCCTGGGAGCTGCGTTCAGTGCAATTGTTATGTTTTGACGGCCGCTAGTGCCTCGGCCGGCCCGATCGATCTAAGTCGCCTCATTACCTCCGAAACACGCACCATCTGTGGAAGGCTGGGCTACGATTTCGGAAGTTTTAGCGCTTCAGCCTTTTCCTTGTTTTGTGCAATACAACAGATATTGGACGCCGGAATCGGTGCCTCAGTTCGTTGATCGTCTATTGATCTCGCCGTGCTCGCCGCCAATAGTGCTACAAATACGGGCCCAAACGAGCGCAAATTGTGAGCTTACAATCTGCATACATCTGATGACACGTGGCCAGGGCCACGACGGCAGAACACCTTCCATGTCAAGACCAACACGCCAACCACTACACAAGACCGCAGTCAGACACTATATTCCGTTTAAACGTACGCCACGCTGCACCACGGCCGCGGGTGGCTCAATCGAAACACAGCATGGCCCTCAGCACCACACAATGACACGGCGGACAGCCTCGCGCCTCTCCCGACCCGGTCGGTTCGCAGCACGCCACCCCGGCCCGAGGCGGAGGCCCGGCGGCTGTAACGGCCTGCTCGTCGGAGCGGTCAGTGCCCGGCGTCGGCCCGCAACGGCGCCCGCTCTCGGCGTCCGCGGACCACCTGCTGGTACTGCTGCAGCGCCAGCTCCAGCACAGCTCGCTTCACCGACGCCGTCTCAATGTACTCCTGCGGACGGAGGACGGCCGGGCCGGCGTCAGGCGCGCACGGACCGTCTGCGGATGGTCCCGCCCCGGCCGGGCCACCCGATAGCGACGCGCCATACGCCACGCCCCGCTGAGGTGGCGACCTGGCACCACCCGGCGAAGGCGCCCTGTCTCGACACAGCTGCCGCTCTCACTGCTATATGGTGTACGAGGCCTCTCGTACTTTCCGATGAGCAGAACCATCGGATTGCTATCAGATATCGAAACGCGTCGGCGCACCGCCGTTATCGCCACGCACGGGCTATAGAACATTAATGCCACGACACCTATGATCAACCCGGATCAATGCTCCGAGGCGCATCAATGCCACACCCGCTGCGGGCTACGCTCAGCACACAGGCTAAAACAGACAACTGCGTGGTGTCGCGGCCACCAATTCCTGTGAAGGCGAGGCAGTGTGGCGGGGTGCGCTGCTGTACACTACTGCGTGGTGCCGCGGCCACCAATTCCTGTGAAGACGACGAAGTGTGGCGGGGTGCACTGCTGTACACTACTGCGTGGTGCCGCGGCCACCAATTCCTGTGAAGACGATGTCAGTCATGGCATGCCGCTGACCCGTATTGCGTCGATGTTGGCCTCCTCTGCGTCCTGATCTGAGTCGGATGACGAGTCTGAATCGGAAGTCGACTCGCTGACAGATTGGCTCCCGGTCTGCTGAGAGGGCGTGGCCTCTTCGCTGATTGGTTCCGTCGAACGCAGGAGTCGAAATAAGGCAATCAAGTGTACAGCCTTGTCCAGCCTGGGAAAAAACGGTCCGTAGTTGAATGAGTTTCCAACTTCAATTCCGGAACCACACAACCACACCAAAATCATACAATTTTTGTTAAAATAATTCATGAACGCTACTCAAAAGTGTGGAGCGTCAACTCACCACGAACTTGCGTGAATGTACAGACATATTTTTATAAGGCACCGTAGAGCCAGAACACTATCCATGTGGAAGACTTGAACCCGCAATGGACAAAATGTTTCTAGAACGAATGGGGCGCATTTGGTCAATTTAAGAGACATGGGGTAAGCGCAGCAATCTCCCCCCCCCAAAAAACAAAAGATAACCAGATAGAAGTGGCCAATATTTCTACGCGGTTTGGGAGATGCTTGCGAAGAAAGAGGAATGAGCTGCAGACGAACTAGTCTTTATGTTTTCAATTATGCCAGTCTGAGTTAAGGAAGTCAAATTTCTATCGCACGTTCTAGCTCTGTTGCCGACGAAGCATGCCCATATACCAGTGAGAAAAACCGTGGTACCCACTTGACTGGTATCAGGACAATGTGACAAAGGTGATGCATCTCTGCTGAACAAGCTTTGTGCGCATCAATACTCTTGTGTATCGATGTACGCATTGCAAACAGCGTGGAGTGCACCAAAGGTGAATTCCCCCGCATAACTTACTGGGTGCGTCGCACTCATGACATGTTACTTGTCACTATTGTACCTGCTGTGCACTTGCCGTGCATGATAGTTTGTTGCCCCATCGCACTGCTCAACAGCGCTCACGCCCAACAGCATGCTCAACAGCTCGGTGGTCGTCGCGTTCCACTATGTGTAATACTTTGGGTTGAGTTCAAAGCCGCAGACCGCCCAAAGTTTACGCCCGGTGTGTGCCTCCATCGTGCACGGCTGTGTAACAAACCTGAAGTGGTTTTCATCGGGACCCGACATACCCTGATGGCGGCTGGAGAAGCCGCTAGCAGGGAGTTGCATGTACAAAGAAATGTCATGCCCGAGGATGGCAATCTTTACGCTCAAAGTCATGGAATGCAACGCTAAAAGTCTCACCCAGCTTGTAAAAGCAACGTCTTTTAAAGGTAAGTACGCTCATCGCACCCATAGTTTAAAAATATTGTTGGTGGAAAACCGGAGCATACTGACTCCGATCTATCGGCGCCTAATTCCTGGGCACACATTTGCACGCTGTCTGGTGCTAGAGTCCACAGACGTCGCCACTACGTACAAACGGCGCTGTCGGCACTGCAGTAGCTGACAAGTGTTAGAGCAGTTCCCAGCACCGCGTCGGAGGAGAGGGTCCCAGCGAATCAACGACGGTGCCAAGCGGAGCGTTGCCTCCAGCGATGCAGCCGCACCACCTGAGCTCTTATCATCGCACCGCGCGACACATCAGGGTATGGAGCTCCCGGCGGACTGACGGGTCCCTGCGCCTGGCCCGCGCCCGGGTGCCGGCGGCGCGGCTGGCGCCACGTCCTCTTCCCCTCCGGTGACACATGAAAACCGTCGACAACCCAACCTAACGTCGATGGACCGCGGCCATCGTCTGGCGTTTTGCAGCACGTGGTACTCGACGCTTAAAGTCAAATAAACGCACTGACCCAAAGAGGATTTTTACGCGTTGCTATTTGCCACAGTGACCCCCTGCGGAGATCAGAGCGAAACGTGTGCCGCCACGCACCAGTGCCGCCCAGACCAGGACCGCGCGCAGCACCAGCTGCCCGGGCACCGCGCCGTGCGTGGCTCAGCTCGACGCGGCTCGGCGGGCGGTTGGGGAGCGGACGGCTCATTCGGGGTCAGTCGACGGACGTGGCCTCTCGGGCCGGATGGAGCCGCTCGCGGCACGCCCAGTACAGATCCCGCAGAACGACACGACATTCGTGGTCCGAGCCCACAGGCTGACCTGAAAGGAATCGTCGCGCCAGCAATGGAGCCAACGGGATGGTGGGCGCTGGTGGTCGCGGAAAATACCAAAACGAGGACGAAGGAAGACCACCAGAGGAAAGGGAATATTAGAAGGAAGATCGAGCTGGAGCCCCGCGGCGATGCGGGCCGACCACAGGTGTCGCCGTCTGGTGCCAGCCCTGAACACGCCCGGCCCGAACGGAAACGAGACGCCTCGGCCGCAGCGACTCCGAGAGCAGCTGCTGTCGCTGAACCTCAGGGCCTCCTGCAGGTGAGGACCATACGGTCACTGACACCTTCTCAAGGTGACGCGCGGATATGCCGGCGGAGGTAGGCCGGCGCGCCGAGGACAGATGGCTGGAGGGAGTCCGCCGAGCGTCCGTCGGGAGGAGAGCACCCGCCGCTTCCAGCCGGTCTCAACCGTTTCCCACATCAGAGCGTCACGAGTCACGGGTCTCGTCTGGCTACGGCGCGGTGGAGTCCTCACCCACGACCGTCGGCGCCCTCACCAGCGCCACGCCGACGTCATACCAGCCGCCAGCAGGGGCCGCTGCCCCCCCCCCCCCCCTTCCTCGCTCCCGCGTGATGAGGCCGCAGCCGCCCCTGCGCAGCCAGCGTCGCCGGCGCCACCCCAACCGACGGCGTCGCGGCCGGCGACGCCAGCAGCACCTTCCAAGTGCCGCAGCGGCAACGGCCGGCCGGGGGTCAGGTGCCGTCGGTGTCGTCTACGGTCACTGACGTGACTGGTGACAGCGCTTTGGTGAGTGGCGCTGGTGTGCTCGGCACCAGCGGTGTTATCAACGGGCGCGGATCTTCGGCCGTGCATGACGCCACCGTTAGAGCTACACTGTAAATCACATGACCCCGGTCTTATGCCGCCGACAGGGATTTTGACAGCCGACGGCGTGCAACGCTAACTGACGCCAGCACTAGGGACGATGCTCCAGCTGGCCGATAATGCGGCGGTACAAAATGAGGCAATGCCGTGGAAAAACTTTTTCGACAGAGGCGCAATTAGTGCAAGTTTGTGCGCCATCTTGCTCTTCTGTACAAGACACAATCAGGTAAGCCTTCTCAATTTCAAGTCTTCACTTTAGGCCGTGTGATTCAATGTTTGGACATCCCATACTCGATGCGCAATACCTCCCAACCAGAGATAAAAAAAACACCAGAGTCAGCACTCGCAACCCAAGTGAAAGGTAATAATACCCTGAATGACAAGCACATAAATCCCCATACTAGCAGGAACAACCACCGCCATAAACGGGAACAGGGACTGGGGTCACAAGGAGGGGCGAGGGGGCACCCACTTCTCCAGTTGGATGAAGTGCAGCAGCAGGTTGTCGATGCGCCGGTGCCAGGCCAGGTAGAAGGCCAGCGCGCCGAAGTGGCGCGTGTTCTGCAGACGGTCGTACAGTCGCGTGCCGTCCACGTGGTCGTAGGTGGCGCTGGTGACCCGGATGTAGTCGGGGTCGTCCGGCTCGAACTGCAGGCAGGCGCGGTCCAGCACCAGCGTGTAGTCCTCCCGGTCAAGGCAGGCCTGCCGTGACGCAGACGGGTCAGAGACGCGCCGGACACGACCGGGCGGACAACTTCCGACCTTCGCCAGACGAGTGGCCATCAAAGGCTACCCGGCCTAGGAGCGCCTCGGCAGGCTAAAGCCACTCGGAACACAGCGTCAGACAGTTGGCTAAAGCCACAGCAGGTCAGCGTCAATGGCAATCAGCGACAGCCGCCTTTGTGGTCTCCGTTTAATCTTACAAGCGACGGATGCTACGACAGCGAAATGGTAGTATGGTGCACGCTCGAAGCACTGGAAGGCACGCCGATAGTAACTCAACTCTACATGTGACTGACCTGCGACATACCAAATCAGATCATATGGGTCAATACCAGTGAGCATTGGTCCGACGAACTTGTTTTAAAAAACCGAGCACGCTGAGATACTACACATTAGATGGTGCTTGCCGAGCTGAATGATATGCTGGCCAATACGGCCAATGATACACCGGACCAGGCATCAAAGGTCACACAAAGTCTCCAAAAGTATCTAAAGTTGTTAGATTTGACCCACCATGACTGCATGATATTAAATGGCATAACAATCTCGCTTACCAAACGCTATATAGAAACAAAGAGTTGGATAGAACAATAAGACAAAACTTGCAATTTCAAATGAAACATCCGAGCTTATCTGGTTTTTAAGCCACGCAACTGGCTTGGCTGCAACGACGGGAGTCACCGTATCTGGATATGTCGGTAATCAGTTCATCTTCGCTCCAGAAGATGGGAGGAACCTTGCCTTTAGACATGCCTGTCGTGACAGAGACCAGTCACGCTCACGGTCCGCCCCGACCGCCGACCTAAAGACCGGGCGTCCGCGCGCGCACGAGGGCGCACGGAGCGCTGCCGACTCGGCGCCCGCTGAGCGCCGCCTCGCCGCGCCGCTCGCTGGGAGACCGTTCGGGGCTCAGCCGGCAGCACACTGGGAGATGATGCCCGGCTGGCCGGGCGGCAACGCGCCTCGCGGTGAGCGTGCACAGCGGCTCCCACGTGCGCTCGATAAAAAATAGTGGTTTTCGGATATCTGGCTGCTTTCCGTAGAATGTTCGGCTCAGACCCGGTCGGTATTCGAATCAGTACCGACACAGAAACGCTGCAGGGTTATGTAAGTGGACACACCTTGAGATGTGGCTCTGTGAACATCATTGGAGTTGTGACGCTCCTCCCCTCGACGGGTATGAATATCTGGCACATTCTGGATCGCTCGTCCCAGTTGGCCGTACGAAGAGTCCCATCCGTCTCACGGACACAGACCATCCGCTTCTGGAACGTAACATGCGATCGGTGACGTACTGCAGATCAGCTTCCCACAACCACGACCAAACACCACGTGAGTGGCTCATGTCAAATACTACATACAGTACCAAGAGTGCAGAAAAGGCATTTCATAATGCTGACATGGTTGTCAAAAGTTTGTATTGTTAGGTTCTGATCTTTTCTTAGAGCATTATTCGAAATAATATACATAAAAATTTTGAGTGCAGAACCAAATGTCCACCAGGTAGCACCCAATAACCGCATCTATCACCATTTGGCTTATGACAGGTGCAATTTTATGTTTTCATGGTGCCCAAGTCAATGTACACTTAGCACGATCTTCCACATACATGGCCACAGCAGAAGTGAGAATGGGAAATGGGTTGAAAGCTGGACGAGGCTCAACGGCGTGTTGTACGCGACCTTACCTGCAGTGTTAAGATGTCTTTAAATGAGTAAACTTAAAACGCTTCCTGTGGCATGAGCCTACCACCGAGCACTGGCACTAAAGCCCAAGGGATAGTTCTGCCTCCAGCCTGGGCCTTTCCCCACCAATTGCCAGCTGATCATAATATGCATTTGCATGTCAAACTGTCTCCTGTGGGGTCCAAACCCAGGGCCTATGGACCACCACTACCCCAGCTTATCCCTTCAGCCAGAGTTAAGGTAACACGTCCCAGTAGTCTCACCCGATCCGACAAGTCTGGCGAGATGTCGATGCACACCAGCTTGCTGTCATACAGACCGACCAGACCAGGATCTGTGGCCAGGGTGCACTCCACAGGCTTGCGTGCATTCAGAACAGGCGGCACCTGCAGCTTCTCGCGCAGCCCGCTGGAGATCCGGTGTTGCTCCTGGAGACACAGCTGATCTGTCAGAGCCACAGACCATGCCCACACATGCCATCATGTAATATGTTGGAGCAATGAGCAAAGAAACAAGCTCTTCACTCTGGACTGATGAAGGTATCACAATTTTATCAAAATTCTGGGCATCAAAAAAGTGCTATGATTAGAAAAAAACATGGCACTGATGACATCATTCAAGCACCTAATCTGGGAACAGTGGGCTTACATACCTAGCTGACTGAGTTATAAATCCAACAAGCCTGCCAGCAATCATTCCAGCATTAATCAGTGAGACAGAGGTCTACTGAAACTGCAACATGACATTACAAAATGGACTGGCCTCTTACTTTGGTTATGTCCTCCTCAGTCATGAAGAGGTATTGAGGGGCCTCAAGCTTCTGTCCAAGCTTCCGAGGCTTGAACACTTGGTCATGCTGACGGTCATTCAGCTGGAACAATACGTTCTGCACCCTGCCATTGAAGAAGAATGCTGCAGGATCTCTGCCACCTGTTCCTGAAATTTAAAGTCACATCAAAATATTTTGACTCAGAGAGGAGAGAAGTCAATAAGTTACACTGCTGCAGCACAGCCTAAAAATAAATAACTTGGATGTTATTGACAAGAGTCTGACATCTTGCAAACATAGTCATTTCTGCACTGCTGGCTGACACTACATAATACTTGAATCACATACATATTAATCAAATCCTTAAAAAACAGTGTTGAAACTTCACTTCCAAGGGAATGAACCTTTTCCTTTTTAAAGAAATTTGACCAAATTCTTGTGTCAGCACCTCTGGGACAGGATCATTACACAGCATACTTAACAAAGAATGGTGTAAGACACATCTAGATTCCCATGTTGATCATTTGCCATAGAAATATTGCAACATCCTTCGCATATTAGGAGTGATTCCAGTGCTCAACTACTTCACAAAGTACAATGAAAGTGATGGCCATATATAGTGGCTAGCATAGCAAGTACATCAACATCATATTTCCTTTTCATCCATTTTGCATTAACTTCAAACATTTTCACCAATGGCTTCAAACATTTGCATCTAATGCACCATCTATGACTGCAGGTGATACCTCATTTACATTGTCCAACTCAGCTGTCAGTCACATGTTCCTCCACAAAGCCAAGTAGATGATACCAACTGCTCTTTTTTGCAACTTGTGACAGTTTGCATGCACACAGGCATCAGTTCTACATTGCAAAATTAGCACAATCCTGATAATGAGGGTACCACATCATCAAAAATCTAGGACACAAGGCACAACCAACAACCACATAAGCAGCCCAGTTTAGATGCCCAAGCCCTCTCACAATGGGAGACTTCTGCAACAGAACTGAGAACCAAAACAATTCTGTATCTGTTTTTGTGACACATGGAGCATGCCAATACATGGTGAGCATATAACTGACATACATGGTGAACATACTCCTTCATCCAGTAAAATCATTAGGAAAAAGTAGCACCTGTTCAGATATACTGGCCAAAACCAAATATTATTTTTCAACTTGCCATATTTAGCTATTGCACCTCAATCTTGGAGCCTAACATTCAGTAGTAATGTAACCTTGTTTTGATGTCATCAACCCTCAACAGATTACTACACCCAAACCCAGCAGAAATATCCTGCAAGAAAATTTCAAGAATGATAACAATGAAATGGACTCTGGATGAAAGGGTAACATGACTTTCTACACCAACAGAACGAAATGTTCGAAGCCGGTCCCACCATTCCACGTGCATACAACAGGCACAAAGCTTACCTTGACAATATTTCCTGCAAATGTGCAGAAATGTGTTGTTAGATGCAATCGCCCACCGAAACCTCATCTTTGCAAGAGTGATGATGTTGATTTGACCTCTACCAGGTATTCAGCCTCATGCCGACACTGACGTCCACGGTCGAAGATGTGAGTGGACAAGACGTGCTTGGTTTGAGATTCCAATACACCCTCGAGAATATTTAGTACGAATTCTTGCTAAGAGGGAAACGGCGTTTAGTGCCCATCCGTACTAAAAGTGGGGGAGCAGCCCGGTAGCCCATGGCTGGACAGAGGAAATGAGGCCGTTTAGAGGTGAACGTCGTGAATTTCTTTTCGTTCGATGGGAAAAGAAAACCTTCACTATTTTGGGATCCCAACTCCCATGTCAGTGCGGGTTGCTCCCGGGACGCGGAAGGGTTGGCCGGTTGGTGGTCGGCAGGGAGCGTGGTGGAAGTGGTTTGGAAACGTGCATGGGCTGTGATGGGTTTCAAATGGGCCTCTGGCCAGCTCGAGCAGCACATAATTTCCTATTATGTATGCACTGTGATCAGAGGACATCCTGCCCGACAATGGAACCCCGACCAATGCGACTTGCGAGGTCTTCTGAATGTCATTCGTGGGCCCAGACCTCGTCCATGCTTGGAAAATGGGCCTCAGTCAGACAAAGGGCCGGTTGTTGGTGATCTCGACCGAAGTGATGGACTTTTTCAGAGGGGCCTCTTTCACCGCCAGAGGCCGTCTGATTGACACCAAAGGGTCCCGGTCCTTCGGAGTGTAGGCCTCCGGCCAGCTCTTCGGCTCTTCGAGCCCTGTAATCGGGCCGTTGATTGTCAATCCCTAGAGACCGAAGGATCCCTCGGGATCCTCTCGAGGGACCGAAGGGGCCACGTGCCCCTTGTGCCTACTTCCACCCCTCCCCTGTCTGCACCCGTACGTGAGACGTATGAGATTCCTTATGTTCAAAACAAGCCAACTTTATCACGCTACGGGGTCCTAGCTTCACGAAACTAGATCAATGCATGTCTGGCGCTTGTAATTATCTTGGACCGGTCACTCGTCTCCAACATGATAATATCAAAAAGAAACGTCGCTGTCGTTACACTGGGCCGAGTACATTGCAACCAATAATGTGCATATCGGAGTGCCGGTTATAAGCCTCCATAAGCTTTGATATGTATATAAAAAAGAAACGTTTCCCAATACCGCTACGCGAAAATCAATTTTTGGCTGTAGCTCGGTTCAAAATTGAATTATTTCAAAAGCCTAAAAATTCAGACTCCTTTTGATGTCTCGCCTTATCTATGCTTCACCTCGAGAAGACCCGTTGACCAGTATCCTTACCGTACTAACTTAAATTAAGGCTAATCGCTGCGTTCCAACAGTAACCTATATACGCATTAACGGAGATAAGGCATCAAATCGGCTTGCTGATTTCGGTTCCCTAAATTTTGTGTTCATAATGAATCAAACTAGTGCCATGGTGAATTTCATGACCATAGCTTAACCGGAAGTGACATGAAAAGGCTTTTGGAATTGAGAATGAATCCACCGCATCAACTTTCCTAGCGAGAATAAATTCACCGCCGACAGGAATAAAATCGCCAACTTGTGTTAGTTCTCAGACACCGACCATCCCCACGAAACATCACAGACGCGTACAATGGTTATCGCTAGCGGTTATTCCAAAACAAAATACCTTACGATCCTGGCCGCTCACGCACGTTCAGTGTGGAATGTGCCTTTTCTTGCGCAATCTACCTCCGAAAAATGAATTGGAAAGTGACCTGTTGGTCAAGCAACAATCATTATCCCAGTGTTGCTTAGAAATTTATTTAAGCGATCAGAGCTATGGTTCTGGAAATTCACTCACCGTGTCACGGGTATGACATTGTGTGACAAGACGTAAAACACGACAGTACACTCACATTCTTTGTTGAGATGGATTTCATATTTTGACGTTAGTCAGAGCTCTTGGAGGTATTTTTTACGTGCTTCATATGTTGTTTGATTATAATAAAGCGTGTCATCTAACATTTCCAGTCATGTTTCCTACCGAAGATAGCACTTTGTATTGTCCTTTGATCGCAACTATTTGCGTCATTCCATCTTGTAAGGAAGCCGAGCCATGAGCTTAATAATACCTTATCATTTGATAACAAAATATACCATGCAACTTTAAAAAGCGTTGATTTCCACATGCCGTCAATTATTTACCACAAATTTTGACGGGCTGCAAGAAGTCGGATGTGAAAAGTCATTGGCACGTCGATGTTTCAAGCTAGGCTGGGTCGAATTAGCAAGGTACCACAAAGGTGCCAATTTCAGGCATTGAAGTGCGGAAATGAAACGTAACAAAACCTGTAAAAATTGTTGCATTACGTGAGGAAATTACTTTTTTCGTTGTCTTCTATACTCTTGGAAGCTTTAAGTGATGTCAAAATCAACCAAATGTTACAGATACACGTGTTCGAAATGTCCCGTCTGGAGTGTTTAACATCTACAAAAGTCTATGAGACTCCGACATATAATGTTTTTAAGTTGTGCATTTCGGGAAAATGAAACCTGACAGGATTATCTCCTTACATTTAGTTCGACATTACTATATGATCAGATTTAACTTTTTGTTGTGTTTCCTACGTAACAAAGATATTGCTCGCACGTATTAAGTACGATGAACCCCAAAAGGTCATCTTGCTTCAAAAGCGGGTTAACCAACAAGCAACATTGCATGGAACTATACAAAAAAGGCAAACAACTTTGCAATTTCCCTTGCTTGCAACTTGTCGACATGCACTTAATGCATATTTTGACGCGCTGCTCAACACTGTCAATTACTGTTTCATTCTCAGTGTACTGATCCAAAGGCTGACAAAGTTGGCTGTTGATAAAAGTTAGATAATAAAGCAAGTTGTATAAAAGCTTATCAAAAATGGTACAGTTATGACCGACTGAAAACAAAAGCATCACACTTGTATGTAGATTAAAATAGGTTATAGGTCATTGTCGTCGTCACTGTTGCTTTACGACTCACTTAGCTGCTGGGGCTATATCGCGTTACTTGCCTCTTACCCTGGCAGGCACCGCCGTAACTCGAACCCCGTACCTCTGGTTTCCCAGAGGCACAGAAGTTTACGAGATGCTTGTACCACTGCACTTTCGGCACCCACAGATGGCTCATAGGGAATAAAAAAACTTGCACCGAGCTTTACAGCCATGGTTAAAATTTTGCCATAGCTCCAAAAATTCAGCGAGTCGTCACAGAAAATTAGGTTTCCAAAAGCAAAGCCAATGTTAAGTTCATGGGACTACGACTGGTGAAATGGTTTTATCAGTGCGTCTTGGGAACACAGCAGTCGTTGGCTCTGACGTAAGACACAACCCGACACACGAATCTGGTCGCGTGATTTACACAGCACCGTAACTTTTCCTTAAAAAGAAGAAAAGTGTCATTGACCTTTTTACCCTTGCTTGATGTACTCGCCATGAAAGGACGCCATTACTTTACTTCTTATTTCCAGGATTTTTCATTCCTAATTCATTTGCAATCATAGAACAATCAACGGATACCGAACCAAATTGAAACACTACAAGCTGAGATGTAATGGAAGCATGCTGAAAGGTAATGTAAATATGCTTAGATGTTAGGATACGAATATGAACGCATAATGTGCTTGTTTTTCAAACGTTTGATACTCAAATGCATTATGAACGCATATGAAGTGTTCGTCTTCTCGCACAATTGCCAAACATCACAGTGAATATCTAAGGAAGCAAAATTGATAAATATTTCATGAACCCATTGCTGAGTTTGCGCGAAATTTGTTGCGAATCGGCCCGCAATTTAGAAAAAAGTCGAACGTTAGGTCTTAGTGCTTCGATTCGACAGGAGATGACCGAGCAACAAACACAAGTTTAACCGCAAAAAAGATTCCTGGCGCGTGCGTCTGGCAGCCATGCTGTTCATAGCGTTTGGCCAACGCGCGGGGACCGACGCGACCGTTCCGGGCGCGGCGGCCTGTACAGCTCCCCCGCCTGGCGCAGCGAAGGGTTGGGGAGGGCAGTCGTAAACAGGAAGGTTATCACCCACACCATCTGATCTGGCGAGGGGAGTCGGATGCTTTGAAATGCCGCCGGACTAAATTCTACCAGGGCTGAGCCTCAAGCCGTATATGGTCACTACGAACCTGTATATAATTTGCATAGTAATCTGTATAGGGTCACTACGAAGGATATGTAGTCCATGGGTCACCACGAAGAATTGCAATCGGCCAGAATGGTTCCGCAACAGAAGATCGTCTATCGCTCCGCTGAAACGGTGGCATCCCGCGCTGGTTAATGTGAAAGCGCATTATTGCTAGTGACACTATAAGCGCCCATTATTCTACCACTGCGCAATAGAAGGCTGTTGGTACTGCGGTTCCTTCCATGCATTCCTGGCGTGGAAGCTTTTACACGACTATCGCTTCTTCAAACAGCCGGTTTGTTCAAGGTCTTGAACTGGCACGTATGAAATGTGTTCTGCTAGCAATACAACACCCGGATACTGGAGCGACTATACTTAAAATATGCCCTCGAAGAGTGAGCCTAGTACAAGAGGATCATTGCCAACGCCATCAGCGGACCATGCGCGTGTTCACGTTGTTCTTGTCTTGTATGCATTTTCATCAAGTCAAAAGAATGGCCCGTAATCCTCGCCCCGATTCACCGTTTTCCTAACGCGGACTGATGGGCAGCGTATGAGATCTCCCTCGCGTTTCTGCGCGATCCCCATCACAACTGGCGGAAAACATCGGTGGTTTGGTCTCAACGGGATCTGGCGATTGGTACTAGTTTTTAAGCTGTTGGTTTAATAATTAAGCCCTTTATGGCAGGTCTAAGGTCGAACTTTCCAGATATTCACACCTTTCCAGTTTGGCAGCATTATCCATACGACGACGTTCCTTGCGGCACCACAAAACTTTGACAGACGCATTTCGTATTCCATTTGGAGCACAATTGCGTATTTTTGTGTTTTGAGCATTCAGTTATGGCATATTGCTGCGCTAATGTGACAATGTCGGTCCGCCGCGTGTATTCCACGGGATCGTTGGTTGCTGCCCGTCGCACGCCTTGGCCGTATATCGCCGTGCAGTCTTTCCCCAAAAACCGCCGCTGCTCCGAAACCAGAAAAGCTAGGAACACGATTTTGGTGTTGAAACAGACAAATGGATACCTCACAGGCCACTGAAAACTTGGGCGCGATCGCGATTCTCTGGAAAGTTCGACCTTAGACCTGCAGTAATGGGCTC